AAAAAATAAGACATGTTGGTGAGGATGTAGGAAAATTGTAATCCTTTATATTGTTAGCTACTATGTCAAAAGATATAGCTAGCTACTCTGTAGTTGACAGACTTCAAAATGACAAATATAGTTATCATTTGACCCAGCAGTCCTACTTCTAAATATTTATCCCCCCAAGCCCCTGACTTCACAAAGTTATATGTAGTCTTCAAAATAATATTTATATGTGATTGTTTATATGTTGGAATGTTATTTTAAATTAAAATGAAATGCCAATGAATACAAAATGAATATAATTTACAAACATTTTATTAGGGGCCCTCCCTGGTGGCCAAGGGTTTAAGTCTCAGTGTGGATGAATATACACATGTTAATACACTGTACAGGTATACATGCATGTAAAGTATCTGTTACATATTTACATTTATTAAATTATAGTGTTTACTGGAACAGTAATTTGACTAATACAAATGAAGGAATAGAAGAAGCCTATAGATATCAAAATTGTTTTAATTATAAAATTATATTAAAGACATCCATTTAAAAAGTAGTGATTGTTTAATTAAAAACAGAATTTTCCTAGCATTTAGTATTAATTATAATAGCTAACACTATTTTTACTTTTGTGGCTTATATTGAAAATCTAGAGTATATTTTATTGGAGAAATAGAGAAATTCTTTCTTTAAAAAATAACATTGAATGCACTCAGACCATATAACCTATATTTTACATATGTGAACCACTTTTTAATTCTAAAATCCACAATTGCTGAACTACAAATTCTATTCTTAACTACCAATGATCTTGGGCTATTCCTACATAACTTTGATGAACTTTGTTGAACTTTGTTCTATTTCTTACTCTCGAGGTTAAAAATTTGCAAAGTTTATCAAGATTAGATGCATGAATGTGCTGTGGTGAAAACAGCATTTTAAAATTTCTTAATGCATATTATGCAGTAAGATTAGACTAAATTTATGATGCTTGATACATGTATATGTCTCTTTTCCTTTTTTCTCATCCTGATTCTCTATGTGCTTTCTTTATCCTCTCAATATTGTCAGATGTAATAGTACAAATATAGAGACACCTTTATAAGTTACAGAGAAAATGAGAATATGTAGTTTATTTACTTGCAAACAACCTGATATAATCAAGCCTGTTAAATATCAAGGTCTATTAGTAGTCACTGTTTATTTTCTACTCATATTTAGCATTCACCAAAGATGTTTTACTCTGTGGCTTAGGGTCCTGTAGAAAAGGAGGAAAATGGCATTGCTAACTTACATTACTTTAGAAAACTTTGGTTAGTAATCAGATATCTACTTTGACAAGAGTGAATTAATCAGACTAAAAAATACCATGTACCAGAGCATTTTAATGACAGTATGTTAAACATGCTAACTTTGAATTAGGAGCTATAATCAGCTAGCGTTACTGGTATCTTAAAGCACTGTAGAACATTTTCTAAGTGACATTTATATATGCTGGGCAAGTGGCCTTACCATCTTTATAAAATCACAGCCATGCCTTTTTAAAATGACTTATGGTAGTGAAATAAATGGCAAGGAATCCTTTAAAAGTAGAAGAAAATGAGCTTTAGCACTATGGTTTTCTAAGTCCTATTCGGGAAACTATTTTTGCTTCATTAATTTTCTCTTTATTGAGTACATGCAAGGTGCTGCTTACTACACTGGAAATTGAAATTTTTTAGGAGACTACTCCATATGTCACTATCTTCATTATGTAATTTGTAATAATATGGCTTATGTTTTGGAAGAAGATAATTCTGAAAGAGATTGATATTGCATATGTGTAGATTATCACATGTTCTTTAGTGCATTAAACCTATAAACTTGTATTAATGAAGTAAGATTTCATTACATATAACAATATATGTTGCTTTTGTAATTTGAGAAAATGCTACATAAAGAAAATTTTAATGATTTTATCAGTTCCATGGGAAAAAATCAGAGTTTATGGTACATGACAGGCACTCTTTTGAATCTTGTAAGATTGTTCATTATTGCTTTAAATAAACACAGTGTGATTGGAATGCAATTGCTTTTTCAAATGTATGGCATCTCTTTTGTTTAAAGTATTACTATAAACATTATTTATAGATAATATGTATGTGGCTGACTTTCATTTGAAAGACATAGTGATATATCTTAATAATGAAACATGAATGGTCTATTAAAATTAGGATTTTCCAAACTGAATATTGCTCAGTGGACAAATGCAATTTTCAGTTAAGCCATATTCCTCATTCTTTCTGGCTCTTTTCAAAGCTGAACTTGATTATGTTTAGTGTGATAAACTCTTCCTCCAGTAGTTGTCTCACTATTCTAGCCTGGTTTCCCTATAATCAGTCCCTATGTTTCATAGCCAAGTGACATTGAATGGTCTGTACTTGCAGGATAGTATAAGGTGGCTGGTGTGTCCATGTCTGTGTACATTTCACATCATACTCATCTTTACCTTGAAATCCAATTAATTCTTTCAACATTTGCACAAGGAACTCAGGGCTGGAAACAAGCAAAAAATTTAAGGCAGTTAATAGGTAAAAGGGGAAACACCAAGAGCTTTGAGATAGTCGGTGTGCCAGCCAAAAACAACAGCAGGTGTGACCATATGGCAATTGAATTAGAGAAGGAATTCTTACCTCATATCCTTCTAGAAGGCAGTTGAGTGCAGGCAGTTCTCATGGAGGAATCATTTACTCAGTCATTTGAATGATTTTATATCCCTTCTTTCACTGTTCAATTTTGAAGGAAACTAAAATTCATTGTACCAAATGGATATTAAATGTTTTTCTTAAAGAATAAAAAATAACTTCAACATTAACTATACTCTCATGTTTAGAGTCCATTGTGTTTAATTTTAAACACAGCATTGATAAAGCATAGATAAAGTATTGATAGTTGAGACTATTTTCAAGAGTAGATCTTTGTGTGGCTAAAAGTTGATGAGTTATTTTAGTAAGATTACTTGAAATGCTTAAACTTAGTATTTGGGCATACTTCATTCAGTATTACTTAGTCACATGTGTGATTAAAGTCTCTTTGGTCCATTTTTAGTCATATCTACCTTCATTGACAATCTTTGACATCATTTTGGTGATTTTTTCCTTATAATTAAAAAAATTACATATATATAGATGAGCAATCATAAACATAGTATTATATGCAATTTGATTTATATCAATCATACACTTTTAACTATTGTATTTTAGATAGTATATATACATTAAATATTAAATATCTGCTATATGTAAACTAGTATTCTACTTTTTATGTATATTAGTTATAAGTTACAGATTCTTCACTTTGCTCTTCCACTGACTTTGTTTTGTGATCTATTTTGAAATACATACATCTACCTCCACTCCTTTAACTGTTTTAACACATTTTATCATATGTATAGAAAACATAATATTTATCCATTTCTATGTCAACAGATATCTGTAAGTTCTCATTTGATAACTTCCCTGGTATTTCCTTGTTGCTTAGGTTTAAGGTTTAAGTAGCGTTTTCATTTTCACAGAAACAATTACATACTTAGGATTTTTCAAGTTTAGGTCACATAGCAAAACCTTTTTTTTGTTTGTTTGTTTGCTTTCTATTGAAGATATTTTCTTTTCCAATTATTCTTCAAATATAACAAAATGAGGGCCCTCCATAGTAGTTCAATATGTTAAGTCTAGTCTCACTTGTCTCCATGCAAGTTAGATCCCAAACCCTGGAGGTGACCCACATGGTGCATCAGACCTCTCCTGTCTCACTGGTTGCTCCCACAGCAGTTTATTTCCTGGATCTGCCTATTCAGCTCCCCACTCTGTTTCTGGTGAAGCCTCTCACCCACCACCCCTGCACCTTTGGTCTGTACCCCATTACTGTATGCATAAAAATAATCCTTAAATACACACACACATATAAAACAAAATGACAAATAGTCCAAGATGTGATATATTTTTTAAAGATTTATTTATTTATACTGAACTGGGGCACAGACCAGAGGTGCAAGTGTGGTGAGAGGCTTCACCAGAGACAGAGTGGGGAGCAGAACAAGCAGATTGACAAAGTACACTGCTGAGGGGAACAGCGAGAAGGTCAGGAGAGGTCTGCCGCACCATGTGGATCACCTCCCGGGCAGGCAGGGATCTAACTCATGCTGAAGTGGCTTTAGCTTCTTAGTGCTGTGCTTTAACCCTCTGTGCCACCAGGGAGGAACCAAGATGTGATTTTTAACATCAAATGTAATTTGCTCAAAATTTACATTAATCTTTCTCATAACTAGCCACTTCCATTTTGTCTTCCTGTCATCCTGAAGAATGAAAATGTAATTTCCCAGAGGCTTGCAGAATTGGGGGAGGATTAAATGTAGCTGAAATTAAGTGATTAATAATTTACTTTTGGGTCATGAATCAACTTCATAGGATGCTAAGGATCATTTGCAACACCAGAATCACTTGCAGAAACAATGCACTTTTTAAGACTTAAGAACTCTCAAAGGTTGGCTACCCAACCTAATTAAACTTCAATCTTCTGATACCGAATTTATTTATTCTTTGTACTGAATTTCCTCAGATCTTCTTGACAGGAAAATGTCACTTTGCCTGACAGCTGATAGACAGGTTATGTAGCACCATAATTGGAAAGAAAAGGATAGCTTAAAGCTACTGGGTTTAATGGCTATGTGTATGGCTTTTTCTTTCTTTCTTTTCCTTTTTTTTTAAGGTTTCTATGACAGACACAAAAGGCCTTAGCAAATAGGCCCAGTGCCATTTTTTCCCCCGCTTCCTCTAGGGGTAATTATCTTACTCCATCAATAGTGCTGTCAGAGATTGGGCACATAATTCAGCATTTAAATGAACAAGCAATGTAATATTTCCTGTCTCCCAGTGGAATGCTTTGCAGTTCACATTCTTCTCTGTCACTCTCTCACTCTTGATATATGTCCCATACTCAGTCCTTGAATGCCTTCTCTCCCTTGTGTTTCATTGTAGATGTTGGCTCCGACTTGACACCTACTTCATTTGGAGTTTTATAGGACCAGCGACCTTGATAATTATGGTAAGAACTCGTAATTAACTGTGTGTTTCCCAGGTCAAGAAATAAAGCTTTCACCATCCCTGTAAGGACTATCTTTAATTTCCATAGATTAATTTTGGGAAAGCATGTAGTTGTTTGACCCTATATAACTCAAGCAATTAGCCAGTCATTATAGTCTACTTTTATATTGTAAAATATTTGATAGAAACTGTTGGGAGGCGAAAACATGCCTTTGCCAGAACTTATGCAGGGCCCTGTCTCCTCAGCAACATAATGCATTTAGTTTTGTAGGGTTTGAACAATGATGACTTTAAATTTGACAGTAGTGTATTTCCTTTATTTTTCATTCAGGTAATTTAAATTATTAATGGAACCAAGAATTGGAAAAGTGACAAAATATCTCACTCTGCTTCAGTTACTTTTTAATATCAATCTTGAATACTTAAAATTTAAAAAAAGAACTTAAGAATGGCACAAATAAGGATTCTGAAATTGCACATTTTTTGTTGTTTGTTGCATAATATCTTGATTTCAGATATGAACTAGTTGTCTAATTTAGGTATCATTATTTAAATTACTTATATATTTATCATTTTACAGTAATAATTCCTATTTTTTTAAAATCAACTAGCATCTTGATTTTGAATAAAACATAGGTCTATATATCATTCTCTGAAATTGTGTAGGCCAACTATATTTTGAAATTCAGATATTTTAGAAAGGTAATTTTTCACGCTACTGCATGTTAATAACATCTTTATTGGGAAATAAGCAGTTACCCCAAATCAAGCATATCAGACAATATTCATAATAGGGTGTAGGCAGGACTCTGAAACCAGGCATTATGAATACATCAAAAATAGGAAAAGTAGTAGCAAACTGAATAAAGAAATGAATAACCTTATCTCTATTTGAATCAGATATTTAGATCAGATAGGTTCAACTGAGGTTATACTTTTTGGCTACCAAAAGAATGTTTTTTAAGTTTCAATTTTTTAGACATTTTGAATTTATAAAGGATACCTCTGTGTTAGAGTGAGAACTTCATTGGAGCTTATATTTTGCATTTCAAAGTTCCCACAATCTCAAGTTCTGACATGTTTATATAAACATGTCAGATGATAGAGAGAAATTCAGTATGCAATTCTCTATACAGTTTATACATATGTGATATATTTGGAATTTACATTAGAACCTGTTATTTAACTTTAAGTTATACACCCTGTCTGGTTCCATTAATATAATAATATCATTTGTAGTTCCTTCAATTCTCAGTTTGTTTAACCATTAAAATTCAACCAACATCTTATAATCCTTTTGTTCTTCCTGTTCAAAAATATATTTATGTTACTATTTGTGTTTTTGCAATGCATCCTTAAACAATAAAGTGGAGCCATATTTAGAGGGTAGAGATTGTAACATTCCTGGAATTTTAAACATTGAAAAAAATTGTTTTATCTTTAAATATTGGTTTTGAGTAGTTTTGCAATTCTTGCAGCATCATACCAATGGCTTCTGATTTTTTATGTGATTGTACTTGGTATAATATTGCTTTGTAACTCATTGGCATTCCAATTCCCCAAATTGACTTCTTGCCTTTACTAAAATATCAAGTAATCATATGTGATCTGATTTCTTTAAATTACATTTTGAAAGCTGATTTTCTACAACTGGCCTGTTATAGAGAATGGATATACTTGTTTTCTAACCTAGCTATGCTATCTATATAACCATACCTTTTGCATTACAGCTTAATGTTATCTTCCTTGGGATTGCTTTATATAAAATGTTTCATCATACCGCCATCCTGAAACCTGAATCTGGCTGTCTTGATAACATCAAGTAAGTATATATTATATTTTTTTTCTTTTTTTTCAGCTGTTTTACTTTGATACTCCAAGTTGTCCTAATTTTTAACTGTTTTGAAATCATGACAAAATAATAAATATAAGTGTGATGTCTTTGCTGAGTAAGAATATTTTATTGATCAGTGAGGTGATTTAATCTGCCTGAAAATTAGTTTCTTCAAAGAATCCAGGCACACTACTTAGAGCAATATATTTACTTAGAGCAATAGCCACACCTATCCCTGATACTCCATCTCTCCTTTCAGAACAATAGGGACAAAGAAGATGAGATACCTACAATTAGCATAAGGGGGATTTTATACTCTAAGAGAGGGAGCCAAAATTATTAATCTGGATGTTTTTATGGAAGCTATAATAAAGCTGACCTCCATACCTCCTGAGACAGAAAGAGAAACTTAATATAAAATCCTATGATGTTTAAATCTATGACTCTAGGCTTAGCCCCTTTGAAATGTTTATATTTACCCTTTTAGCCATCTATCAATCCAGAAATCTCCCACTAGTCATTCATCTTTTACCTTCTAGAATTATCTTTTAACCAAATTTCCACTTACTGCTGCCTGTTGTTCAGGAAACCCTAGTCACGCAGAGAGAGGATATCCATTTGCCTTTCTACAGTAATACTACTACTGTATACTAGTATATATACTATAATACACTAGTATACATACCATACTACATAAATAGATATAAACACAAATATATATATACATACAAAAAAGCTAATTTACATACTCTGAAGAGAAATGTATCTGGTAACTTTAGAGTTTGTGACATTTGAGAAAGATAGTAAAGATATACTTTAGCTATTAACATGCATTGTATATTAAATTATATTTGCACAACCTTAGACCATGCTATGTTTTAACTGGTTAAATGTTATTTAAAAGAATGCATTTTCAAAATACATTAATGTGCAATTGACATTCTTCTCAAACTACTCTGATAACCTCTGTTATCCATTTTCCATCACTCTACAGTTGTGCCTAGTATAGTTTCTTGCCCATGGTAGGTCCTCCAGGAATATTTATAGGATAAAATAACACATTAAAGGCTTCAGTGACAAAAGCAGATTGGCATCTATTGGTTAATTTTGTTGAAGGATTTACCTGTCTACATTAACTGAAAAGAATAACTAAGGAATTAGAAATTGTAATAACAGTGTAGCAAACAAGAAATTTTCTACTACAGGCAATATGTTTTAAAGCTTTTGATATTACATAGTTGAGTTAATATTCATTAAACTGCTGAATTATGTACACTTAGACTGCCTTTTTAAAATGTAATACTAGATGCTGGGGCTGTTCTTGATAAAATTGAATTTGGGTAAATTATACAGGTACATAAAATATATATTTTTATAGTATCACATTTTATTCACTTTAATATATTACATTCTTGTTTCTATTCTATAGTATAAAACAAAATGCAAATAACAATTATCATCTATGCTGTGTTTTTCACCAAGAAGTGAATAATAATTTTATACTTATGTAGTAGCTCTAACCAGGTTGAAAATCAGAAAGGTTTTGTATTTTGTAGAGTCACATAGGGCCAGTTTGTTCTTTCATCATCCCTATATATTTCTTTAGAAATGTGGATTGAGATTATTTTTTTAGGTTACTATTTAGAAAAGCAAACACACAAAAGTCAATAATTACATTTAATATCATTGATAATGTCAAGATTTATATTAGAAAGCAAAATAAGTCTTATTAAAAAAAAAAGAAGTCTTGGTTTGACTTCTGTACCCTACTTTATAGTTTATAGTCTTTGGAAAAAAATTTTTGCCATGCCGAGCCTTCCTGTTTAATGAAACATTCTGTACCATCAAGTAAGCAGAGGTATAGAAATAGCTGTTGATATGCAGTTTTAAAAAGGCATAGCAAGATAATGGGTAGAGTGAGTAGTTGTCAGAAAAGGTATAGAGGATGGTTTTACACAAAAAAGAACATGAGTAAGGATAGAGTGATGGGAAAGAAACTGTTATAGAGAGCATAGCATGAAACTGTTATAGAGAGCATAGCATGTGACCAGAGAAGAATAGGGAATAAGGTCCAGAAAAATGTAGAACAATTTACTCCTGTAGACTTCATGAAAGATCCTTCCATCAGGACTGAGGATGGATGAAAAAATAAGAATATATGCCCTATAGATATGTTGTTAAGGCTAAGGTAAGACAGGAAGTTGAGAGATTTCTTACTACTCTCTCATATATGAAGCGGGAAATATGGCTATTTGCAGACTATGCTGATGTCTTGAAAAGAATAAGAAAGAAATCTCAAGAAACATTCCCATAACTCTCTACTATCTTAAAGGTATTACTTAAAAAAAAAAGATTTATTTATTTATGCATAAAGAATTGGGGTATAGGCCAGAGTAACAAGGGGGGGAGAGTATTCACCAGAGACAGAACAGAACAGAAGCAGAACAGGCAGATGTACTAAAATACACTGCTGAGGAGAGCAGTGGGTGAGACTGGAGAGGTCTGCTGCGCCATGTGGGTCAGCTCCCTGGCTGGTATTAAAGTCTTGTGGCAGTGACTGGCAATAGCTTGATAGCACTGGGTCTTTAATCACTGAGCCAAGAGGGAGGCCCTTGAAGGATATATTTTTTTTAATTAAATACATTGTACTATTTAAGGAGTGCTTATAAAGAACTCAATAGATATAACTAAGAATTTTAGAAAGGGTAATTATTTTGAACAGTGTTAAAACTCAAAGTTATAATTTTTGTTTTAAACAAAAATAAGATAACTGTATAATGTGTGCTGTTTTTTGAAAACGTGACATGAGAGTTAAGTACAATTTGGCTGGAAAATCTTTTTACAAGTACATGGGATAGAACAAGAACAAAAAAGATAATGTTTTCTTTCTACTTTCACAAAGTAGAGAACAGAATAAATAGGTCATCCTGTTTGGTGATTGAGGAAAGAACTTGAGCATATAAGTGCTTTGGGAAGTCAGTGTCTTTCTAGAATGATTCAGTTGTTCATGTATCAAATGTGTATTTCTTTCACACATAGATAACTCCTTTATATAAATTGTTTTTCCTTCTTCCATATTCATGCCTTTTCCTTTAAAGCCACCACCATCTTCTGCAACACTAATGCAGTGCTCCCTGATTCCTTTCCCCATGCTTAGCGTGGTCATTTGAAAAGTTTAAATTCAATCTTGTTACTCTCAGGTAAATCTCTCCAATGGCTTCCTGTTACTCCATAACCAAAGTCCAGACTTCCTGGTCAGGCACATTATGCTTTTCTCACCCAGTCGATTCTTTCGTCAGCCGCTTTATAATCCATGCATCCCCCTGACCATACTAAATATATTCCATTTTGCCTCAGCTCTAATCTCGTGTATTTCTGTACCCTATCTCTATGCTAGCTGACTCCAGGTATCCTGATTAGCTTAATTATTATTTCTAAAATGATTTAATTATGTTTTAACTCCAAATTTACTTCATGGTCATCATAATAAACACATTTTGATGATAGCATAGAACATTTATTTGCTGGTTTATTACTATATTCTGGGAAAATTTTAATAAGTAAATTGGTATAGGTAACATGCTTACAGTGTTCTTTGTTTTTCATCAAAATATTGGATTGTCAGAGAAATCATGACATATTTTTCTATGTTTTTCAAGCAAAAACATATGTTTTCATGCCTTCAACAACCCAATAAATTAGGGGGTAAAAAGTAAGTCTAATCAGTGGATTTTTCTGATTGAGCCTCTAACAAGTTGATAATGGAGCTTACATTAAAATAGCAATGATATAACCTACTTTTTTTTTTTAAAGATTTATTTATTTATTTTTACATACAGAACTGGGGTACAGGCCAGAGGCTCAGAGGCGGTGAGAAGCTTCACCAGAGACAGAGTGGGGAGCAGAACAGACAGATCTATGAAGTACACTGCTGAGGGGAGCAGCGGGCGGGTCAGGAGGGGTCTGCCTCGCCATGTGGTCACCTCCAGGGCAGGCGGGAATTGAACTCATGCGGAAGTGGCTTTAGCTTCCCAGTGCTGTGCTTTAATCCGCTGCGCCAGCAGGGAGGGCCTATATAACCTACTTTTAAAATACATATGTACATATGAGCAATACCATGGCTGATTAATTTATAATATTGATGAAGGACTGAGGTGTAAAGCTTTTATTCTTGAGGAGCATTTAGCACACTCTTCACTTTTACATTCAAAATTAAAATAGTTCATTTCTGTACTTATCAACTACTTCTACTATTGGAAAATGCACTTAAAGATGTTGCAATTTCTTTGAAGAACAAGGCCTTGGAGAATGGGATGTTGATGTCTATATAGAGGGGAAAAGGAATTTTTCTGTTTTTTTTCCCTTTTCTTATCTGCTCTTTGCTCATTCTCTGGGATGGACTTCTGTATGCAGTTTTCTGATTTTGTCCTGTCATGGTTTACAGGTTCTGGTCACTTCCTTTATCTTAGGTTTTACATGAGCACTTGGATTGTATATATTATCACAGAAAAGGAGCATTTTCTACTTTATTCTTTTCTTCCCTGAGCTCTAATTGTTAAAGGACAGAAATGGTAGAGGAGACGATAACTTTTATGTCTGACCTACCTGGGTATGAATTTCTTTTCAAGCTTCTAATTGTGAAATGTGTTTGGCAAGTTACATGGCCTTCAGTCTCAGTATCTCTTCTAAATTTGGAAAAATTGTGTCTACTCTGAATAGTTATGAGATAATCAAATAATATGTATAAAACATGCAATTCAAAATTTACTGCCTGTTCAGGGTAATTTGATTATTTTTCACCTCTCTCTTTGGAAAATATCCATTTCCCTTGATTCTCGGCTGTTTTCATAATATAACTTGACCAACAAATTATAAAAATCCTATTAGAATTTGAGTATTTTGTTGTTGTTTGACACTAAGTAATTGTATGATATGACCCAACCCCATTTAAGCCATACTTATCCTATTATGAAAGAATTTACTCCAGG